ATTATCAAGTAATTTTAGAATACCTATGAAAAAAGTGGTATTCAAATTACCCCGATATAATGTACAATGATTACTATTGGTATTGAAGGATTATCAGAATTTTTTATTACTTGACAACCAAACATGTAATGACTAATGAGGGGGTGTTTGGTCTCGATAATATTTTATTGTAAAAAGATAAGATTACTAATGGGTATGATAACCTTGAAGATTAATAGGTAAATTTATTATGTGTTTGGTTCGGTGAGCTGTATAAATAATTAATGTATTCGGTTGTGTAGTAATTACAAAATACTTATTGACATCAATACAAGGGCATTGTGTTTGGAATCATGGATCAAGCAAGGTCGATCTGAAGATGTAAATCTATAGATCGGGTAAGGCCGATCCGAAGGTGTAAATTCGTGGATCGGGCAGAGTCGATCCGAAAGTGTAGATCCATGGATTGAGCAAGGTCAATCCGAAGGTGTAAATCCGTGAATCGAGTAGGGTCGATTCGAAGGTGTAGATCCGTGGATCGAGCAGGGTTGATCCAAAGGTGTAAATCCGTGGATCGGGCAAGGCCGATCCGAAGATGTAGATATGTGGATTGGGCAGGGCCGATCCGAATGTGTAGATCCGTGGATTGAGCAGGGTCAATCCGAAGGTGTAAATCCGTGGATCGAGCAAGGTCGATTCGAAAGTCGAAGTCCATAGATTGAGCAGGGTCAATCCGAAGGTGTAAATCCATGGATCGAGCAGGGTCTATCCGAAGTGTAAATCCGTGGATCGGGCAGGGCCGATCCGAATGTGTAGATCCATGGATTGAGCAGGGTCAATCTGAAGGTGTAAATCCGTGGATCAAGCAGGGTCGATCCGAAGGTGTAAATCCATGAATCGGCCCTGTCGATCCGAAGGTGTAAATCCTTGGATCAGGCAGGGTCAATCCGAAGGTGTAGATCCGTGGATCGGGCAGAGTCCATCCGTAGATTAAGCAGGGTCAATCCGAAGGTGTAAATCCGTGAATCGAGCTGGATCAATTCAAAGGTATAAATCCATGGATTGGGTAGGGCCAATCCAAAAGTGTAGATCTGTGGATCTAGCAGGGTCAATCCGAAGGTGTAAATCCATGGATCGGGCAGGGCCGATCCAAAGATGTAGATCCGTAGATTAAGCAGGGTCAATCCGAAGGTGTAAATCCATGAATCTGGCGGAAGCTAGGACTACGGCGGAGGCATTGGGCTCTTGGGAGCAAGAACTTAGAAGCAAATAGATGTTTTTGAGTAGTGTAGAATGACTATGGGAGATTGCCCCCTAATGAGAGGGCAAGCCTCTGTTTTTATAGTGAACCCAACGAGTTATAATCCTAGTAGGACATTGAGTCCTCTTTTTTGAGAGATAATCCCTATCAAGAAAGAAATATGATTTCTTGACCTTATCAGATTAAGTTTAATAGTTTAAATAAGATTTGGAATCTTAGTAGGATAATAAGTCCTATTTTGGGAAATAATCCTTATCATGAAAGAGATATGATTTCTTGACCTTATCAGATCAAGTTTAATAGTTTGAGTAAGATTTTAAATCTTAGTAGAAGGGGAAATAGAATGGGATTCTGATTTCCTATTTATAGACTGTTGCAGGTTAATGGGCTGAAACCCAGTTTAGCTTAACTTATAAGATAGCCAACTAATAGAGTAGGTAGGTCGCAAGGTGATTTTAAGCATAGACTCAATCGGGATTGGGTTGAGACCTTGGACCGTGACATATTTATTTCGTTATTGGGCCTCGTCAAGCCCAAGACGATTTTTGGCCCTAACAATAAGCATTTTGAATTTGAATTGAAACCTTATTAAGTTTTATTTAATTGATTATTTTATTATGGAAAAACTTAGCTAGATGTTTCTTCTTCTTTTAAATGACAAATTTGGGTAAATCACTTTAAAGTTTTAAAGAGCAGTATTTAATTAAATTATCCTTAGAAGGGAAGAATTCTACTTGAATGTTTTGTTAGAGCATCTCCAATGAAACACTAAATTGGTGTAAAACACCAAAATAATGTCAAATTTTGCTCGAATCATACACCAAAAGCCACACCAAATTGGTGTGACAGTATTCATCCACCACAAAACATATTTTATTTCCTTATTTTTGTTATTTAATTTTTTTTTAATTTGTATTGATGTTAATTTGATTATTATTTATATTAATATTTATAATAATTATATAATTCAAAAAATGATGAAAAATTAAAAACAAAACTTCATTCAATGCAAAATTAAACTTCAATAACTTAAAATAAATTAACACTAATTTAAAAAAAAAAAACTAAAATTAATAGAAAATACAATATAAAGTAGAATAACAATTTAGTATTCTGGTAGATTAGTCTCAGATCCTCTAAGATCATCAAATTAAGGACACAAAGGCTCACCATGCTCTTCGAAATGCATTAATTGATTGTTGGTGAGAAGTATATATTACTTCGGATAATTAAATTACTATCAATATGAAATTTTACTTTTGTAGTATTGTTTTTTTATTTTTTTGTGGTATTTTATATTAGATGAATGTTTTTATATATTAAGGGGGCGTTTGGATCATATAATGTTTTATTATAGAGGATATTATATTAACGCAAAGATAGATAACCTTGAAGATTACTGGGAATGTTTAAAAAATGTGTTTAGTTGATTCGAATAAATTAGTGAATAATATTCTTGGTTAAGAGAATAAATGAATATGTATGTTATATAGATTACTAAATTGCCATCTTTTTAAAATATTAATATAATATTATTTTTTATTTTTTATTTTTTGAATCATTTCTTTTAACCCCCACATTTGAAATTTTGTTAAAACACCACAGTCATATAAAACTTTAATTTGTAGCAAAATCACCCCCAGCCACCCCAAGCCACTGCCGACAATCGACAAAATGGCGCATGACTGGCCATATATGGCCGGTTGTGCACCACCAATGCCATTTCTAGCCATGGATCACAAATCCATAGTCGTTTCACAGCCAGACTTGTGGCCGTGAACCACGATCAAATCTATGGCCATTTTACGACCACAGGTTTGGCCGTGAAACGGCCATAGAAACACCAGATCTAGCCATTTTCAACCAGAAAAGGCCTTACCGACTAGATCCCATTGGTCGTGCACCATTACGGTGATTGACGCTAACCACCAGCAGTGGTGAGTAACGGTCAGTGGTGGTCTTGGGTGACGGGGGATATTTTGTTAACTTTTAAATTTTTTTTTGTGGCTTGAATGTTTTAGCTAATTTCTCAAATGTGGGGGAGCTAGGTAATTGTTATTTGGTGGACATTTGAGGCAATTGTGTCCGAAATGGTATTTAATTAAGGGCAAAATAGGTGAAAAAAAAAATTTTGGGTAATGTTTTAGTCGTGCGCACCCCGGGGGGGGGGGGGGGGTTATCGGATTACTCCCAACATTATCAACAGTAAACACTATTTGCAATAAAAGATTCCCATAATATTTTATTACTTGCAAACTAAACATTGGAATCTTGTAAAATAAATGAAGCTTACCCTCGTTATCTTATATGCCCCCAATCCAAACCCCCCTAAATATAATGTTTATTTGATTTAATAAATGCTTAATTTTATTAAATTAGTATAATTTTCAAAGTTATTATTATTTAATTAGTATATATAAAAATAATTGGTAAGATAAATTAATTGTTGATTATTAATAGGAAGAAAAAGAAGGAGAATATTCTTTTTAGTGCAATATTTGGTACAATGGGTTTGAGATGCAATAGTGAAAAGATGTGAAAGTTACACCAATTTGGTGTGACAGTTGCACCAATTTGTTTTTTGTGGTTGGAGATAGTCTTCGAGCAAACGACATATTCCCACCCAAGGTTTAGCAAAATCTCAAGTTGATATCCCTGATTACATTTATTTCTCATTTTCATCATTAAAGTAACGTCATTTTTTTTTTTATTTTAACAGATTCGCAACTTTTCACTATAATGCAGCACACATTAGCATGCTAAAGTGTGCTGATACTTTCTTTGAAGAAGACAGACTCATGTTAGCAAAAACGACTCACATTAGTCTGTTTAAGCCAACGGTTTTTGGCTTTTTTTTTACTGATTTCGAAGTCTAAAATCATTTCCAACACCATCTTGTTCTCCTCACAACCTTCTTTACAAAACCCACATCTTTATTTGTTGACTTTACTAACCTTTTTTACCATTTATAATAGTCACTAACCATGTTAGTTTAACTGTAAAAATCTGGAATAAATACTACTAAAGTATATCTTGGAATTTCGCTAAATCTGTTGGGATATGTTGTTTACTCTGTTTTGTTGTGTAAGTTAGTATCTTCACACATGGGTTCCATGATGGCTAAGTTGTGCATTTAAAAAAGAGTAATGTTAGTTTTACAAAGACACATACAAGGGGGCATACAAAGACAATCTTCACCCTTGATTTTCATGATTTCTCTCTCTCTCTCTCTCTCTCTCTCTCTCTCTCTCTCCGTTTTTTCTTTGTTTTTTTCTTTTGGATGATGTCACTATGTAGCCCTCTTTGTATGGGTCTTTGTAAGGATAACATTTTTCTTTAAAAAAAGAGTAATTATTGCTCTTCTGTCTTAATAAATGAGTTTCAGCCAACCTGTGTGTGGGATGTCCCACAGGTATGACAAATATTTCCTTGGGGAATAGTTACGGTGCAAATATTTCCTTGGGGAATAGTTACGGTGAGAACTTGAATAAACAGTTAATTACAATTGTTTCAGTATCGAGTATTAGACATAACAAACACAAAATAAGATAAAATATATATTCTTAGTTTATTAATATCAATTATAAGGTGTAAGTATTTTTAACTCACCCTTTTAAATTTTCTCCCATCCTAGGTCACCACATCGATTGTGCGAAACAGTGACTCTCTACATCGAGGTTGGGTCCATGCAACATCATTCTACTTTGTATGTAGTTTCACATTTTTTTTGTCTTTTACTGCATGAGGGTTTATTACGGTATTACCTAGGGTTGTTAACAAGCCGAACCGAACCGAGTTTTTGGTTTAACGAGCTCAGCTTGTGAGAAGAAAGAAGAATTCGAGTTGAGTTCGAGTCGAGNGCACTATAAGCTGGCAAAACAAGCAGTTCAGGAACATTTTTTCCCAATCTTTTGATTCTCTCATGAAGAGATTCACATGCAAAATCAATCTCCTCCTGACCAGTCAAGAAGAGAAGGATATCTCCTTCAGGTTCTGTCAAGTGGATCTCTAGGACAGTGATCAGTGCTGCATCTAGATAATCGCTTTCTGGCTGTTTGGAGTAGAATATCTCAACAGGGAAAGTCCTTCCAGGAATTGTGAAGATGTTGCAGTTGAAGAAATATCCTGAAAATTTCTCTGCATCTAATGTGGCAGATGTAACAATCAGGCGAAGGTCAGGTCTCCGTTTCACAAGCTGCTTAAGTAACCCAAAAAGAACATCGGTGTTGATTGTCCTCTCATGAGCTTCATCAAGCATAATGACTGAATACTGAGAAAGATTCTCATCTATCAAAATCTCTTTGAGAAGCATACCATCCGTCATGTACTTGATCACAGTATCAGCTCCAGTACAATCCTCAAATCGTATAGCGTACCCAACATCCTCCCCCAAACGACAACCAAACTCTTCAGCAACTCGCTTGGCCACAGATGTTGCAGCGACCCTTCGAGGTTGAGTACATCCAATCTTACCTTTTGTTGTGTAACCAGCCTCCGCAAGATACTGTGGTACTTGGGTAGTTTTACCTGAACCAGTCTCACCGATTACAACCAAAACCTGATTATCATGCACAGCCTGAATTAGTTCCTTATTGAGTTTGTAAATTGGCAAGCTCTTCCTCTGTTCCTGAATGGAGAGCTTTGATCTCTGTCCAAAAGTCAATGCTTTTCCATATGAGTCCTTCTTCCATTCGGGTATGTTAGAAGCTGATAAACCAACACCCCTGAGCTCATCTGCAAGATGTCTATCACCAGTTTCCGGTATTGGATCTTCCCAAGCACGGTTCAGATCCTTTGGTATTGAATCTAACATTGTCTTCTGCTGTTGTCCCCTCAGTTCTCTCCGCTCCTTGATGAGAGCAGATTGGAGAGCAGCAGAACGGCTCAGTGACCCTTCTGGATTCTTGAAGATTTTTACAGGTGATATGTCAACAGAATACTTAGAATGCCCATTTAAAAATGCTGGTTCATCCTCATTCAGTTCAATCTCAAGCTCTTCCTCAGCACTCTCCTCTTCAGAAGCCAACCCATCTCCTTCCTCATCATACATGGTATACTCATTCTCAGCCAAAACCCCTGAAGCAATCAACTGTTTCTTTTCCCACTTCTCCAGTGAGCTCATTCTCTTCAGCTGCTGGCGCGACCGGACAGCATCATCCTCCTCAAGATCCATCCTAGCTATAGGCCGTGATGCATTAGCCCTGAACTCATCATCCACGGAGCTCTTCTTTAGCGGATGTAAGTCCTTACCAGTATTCTGATTGATATCCCTCATGGAAAGACTCAACTTCCCACCTGAAACCGAAATCACCTTCACATAAACCTCCTGATAAGGCTGCAAAACATCTTTGGCGTTACCAATTCTCCTACGTGAAATCTGCGAAACATGAACCAAACCCTCCTTACCCTTAAAATCCCTCAACTCAACAAAACAACCCGTCTCCATCACTCTTGATACTGTCCCTTTATAAACCATATACAACTCGGGATCCTCAGTTTCTCGACATCGATTACCAACATCAACTTCAATTTCTTTCTCAAGAGCACTGTACTTGATCTTCTCACCATCACTGCCTCTCTCTTTCTTTAACTTCTCATCTGAATTTCGCTTCTTACCCGGAGGAAGAATGGCGTGAATGATAGTTAACAATGTACGGACAACGTAATCAGGCAACTCAGCTCCATTTGCTTTCAATTTAGTATCAAACCTCTCCACTGTTTCGCAACTACGGCCTAACTCGCAGAGGAACTCAGCCAATACCTTATCTCCAAAGCCTAGATGTGTTTCCAACTCAGAACAAATCTTAGAGACAAGGGACAGATATTCTAGTTTCTTAAAAGCATCATCTTCTATAACCATCGTTCCAGATGAAAAACACACACACAACACACACACACACACACAAAAAGATTTGGAGAGTCTTCGTGTACCTGATCGAATATGGCTTACAAAACTACAGACTCCTTGTGTTGCAGGGAATCGAAACTGGATGGAGGCTTTTAAGATCAACCTTTTGTCAACCTTCTTTGGATCATTCGTGTCTGGTTCATGGACGGTTCACTTGCGCGCCAAGTAAGAAGTTGCCAAGTCGGACGTTTTTCTTATGCTCTGACTTATTTTTCTGAAAAATAATTTAGGGGGCTGCTAAAAAAATTCTCCCCAGTAATCACATATTTGAGTTAAAAGCTGTATGGGATTATTTTACTACATGTTATCTTCAAAAGACAATTTATTTAAGAAAAACCGATTTTTTTCCTTTTTTATTCTTTAACAGGTGATACTTGAGCCGTTGATTGAATCATATAATGTTTCATTATAGAGATATATTATATTAATGAAGAAAAAGATATTTTAAGATTATTAGAAATGTTTAGAAAATGTGTTTGGTTGGTTCGAATAAATTGGTAAATAATATATTTAGTTGGGAGGATAAAAAGATGACTATGTTATATATATTATTAAATTATCCTCTTTTTTAAATATTAATATAATAATATTTTTTATTATTATTTTTTGAATCACTTTTAACCCCCAATATTTGAAATTTTGCTAAAACACCTCAGCCATATAAAACTTTAATTTATAGCAAAATCATTCCCATCCACCCCAAGCCATTGTCGGCAACCAACCACCACCGCCGATAGTAGTCGACAATCAACGAAATGGCGCACGACTAGCCATATATAGCTGGTTGTGCGTCGGCAAGGCCGAAAATGGGCATGAATTACAGATCCATGGTCGGAAAACGACCAGATTTGTGGTCGTGAAATAGCCACAGAAACGTCAAATTTGGTCGTTTTCGACAATGGAGAAAAGGCCTCACTAGCGCACGACCAATCAGATCTCGCCGGTAGTGCACCATTACGGCGACTGACGTCGGTGGCCGACGTTAGTCTTGGGTGGTTGGGGATATTTTGTTAACTTTTAAACTTTTTCATGATTGGAGTGTTTTAGCTAATTTCTAAAATGTAGAGAGATTGGGTAATTGTTATTTGGTAGACATTTGAGGGCAATTGTGTCTGAAATGGTTTTTAATTAAGGGCCAAATGGGTAGAAAAATCATATTACTCTAGTAATGTTTTAATAACACCCCCTAGCAAGGAAATAAGATTACCCCTCACATTACTAAAAGTAACCACTATTTGTAATAAAAATCCTGTAATATTTTATTACTCGCAAATCAAATACAAGATTCTTGTAAAATAAACAAAGATTTACCCCGTTATCTTATTTACCCCCGATCCAAACGACCCCTAAAAGTTAACAAGCAAGCCTTCCAATGAACACCCTATTAACAACTAAATAATACAC